CGGCAATAATGGGTGAAGCACAACCCTAATGGTTTCAATGTTCCCATATAGGTCTTGGAATGCAATCACTTCACCATCTTGGAGGATATTATTCATGGACATTTCATAATATCACGATCGCGTTAAAACCATGAGATCCACACTTAAATAGAGTAACCTCTATGGGGTCGAATGTAGGCTGATAACAAACGTGGGAACAGCATAGGTTCAAATACGCTGAGCACTAGCTTTAGCAAACTAATATGTCTTAGCTGTGAACTACGTTCTGGAGCAGATTGCAGAACAGCTTTAGTTGTTAAGAACGACAGCATCGAGGTCCTTCTCATTCGGGGCATATGGAAGTATTTATATCCCAGTAAGTACGGGAAACAAGTTTTGTGAGAAAGGGATACAACTTCATATTTCGATGCACTGTTTTCGATTTGATTTTCTATCGAACATGGATAAGCAGCACTAGGTGTTCTCTGAAGTGACAGTGACTTCTCAGGTTGTCACTGTCTTCCATGATTTCGCATCGTCTGCAAACAATAACGTATGTGGCCCCGAAACATCCATTGGATCGTTTATAAAAACTAGAAGAAGTTGAGGGACAGGCACGTATCCCTGTTTAACTCCTTGAACTACGATGATAGGAACAGAAAGTGATAGAGAAACCCCAACCGGCATGATGCCTTATAGAAGAAATTTTTATCAAGCCCAGTACAAATTCCCGAATTCAACAACTGTGTCCTCAGTAATAATCTATGGTTCACACGGTCAAATCTAGCCAAAATCAACGGTCACCACGTTCTTTTTCCATCAGAGTCAATCGATCTTCGAAGAATAGTGGTAATCATAGGGATTTAGTAAATTTCACGGTAAACAGAACGTTTATAACGGTCCTTGAAAAGATACATTAGGAAATGGAAAGGTACATAGATCTAGCAACTTTGTAAACAAAAAACAAACAAAACAAAATCATGTAACCGAGCGGTGGTGACCCAACAGATAAGTTCACCAAATAAGCACCCAGAGGACGTGTTTGAGTTCCACCACCACCGCTCCATTTCCCATATTATTTGTTGAATGGTAGCCTTTTGATTGACCGTTTCCCTCTTCCGGATAACTGTATCATTGTACATTCGATGAAAGGAAGCAAAAATGAGGAAAAACAAAACGAAAATAAACGAAGCAGCAAAAAATAAATTCAAGTTCCGGCATGATCTGCGGAAAAAAGAGTGGTACTACCGTAAGCGGATTCTCGATCAAAACCCGGTGCTGGTACGGGTTGCGTCTCAGGTAACTGTCAACCGAACTCGTCAATCACGTGGGGTGCAAGAATCTGGTGCGTATATATATATATATACAGCAGAAGGTGCCACCAAAAGCCTCAGTATGGTCGGGGGTGGGTGTCTAGGGTTGTGGCTGATCACCCTACTCTTGCACCGCGCGAAATGCTCAAATAGGAGGAAGCCCAACTCACTGTCTTTTTCTGGCGGAGGTGTTTCCCACTTAAGTGAGGGGACGAGAAGCCGAAATTGGATTGGTGGACCACTGGTAGTTCACCTAGGGGAGTTGGCAAAACCCTGATTCCAAAACAACCATGAGGAGGAGTACGAACCACACACAACTTCCTAGTTGTGGCAGTGGTCACCGGCTCAATTGGACACCGACCCTCCAATGGATTGCGGTTTTCGCACACCGCCCCGCTACCTTACGGGCCAGGCTTTGGATAGCCAAAGGCTCTGGCTCTGTATTCCTCAAGCAAATTCACCTACGTCGGTCTGGGCAACCTGGCAGTAACCGGCCCACATGCAAATCATGGAACATTTTTCTTTTTGATGAAGATTATTGTACCATGATTTGTTTGGAACACAGTCTGGAGTCAGACGTGTGTGAAAATAAAATAAAATAAAACATTAGATGATGACATCGAATGATCATCCTAGCATGATATTGCGATACCAAATGCCTCTAATCGGGGGAGGAAGAGGAAGTACCGTTACCGCATTTATATGATAGCGTTTATTCGGCTCTAACCAGATATAGAGGAAACACCAACAAAATAAAATCAGGAAGAATCATGAGGAATAGTAACTTGGGAGTGACCTGAAAATATCAATGTAAAGTTGAGAAAATATAATAGTTAAAGTGACCATACGGATTAACGAGTGTTAGGCAATGATGAAATACGCTATCGGTGAAAACTACCGATCGAAAACAATAATGAGCGAAGATGACGTATGAATTTACCTGTGTCCTTTCTTCGGTATCCATATGTCCGTATGCGCTAATGAACGTACGCTGCATTTTGGACATACGAGCCATAATTTTAGATTGCCGTTCCCGGGCCTGTTCTGCTCGATGCTGGCGCAGGGCAGCCACTGTGGATATGTGTGACTGCCAAGGTCAAGTGAGAACAAGTGGTAATTGAAATATCCAACGATAAAGAGACTAAGAGAAATATATAAACCGACAGATATGAAATATCCAAATTTCCTGTTTTCAAGACCAGAAACCTACCGTTTGTGAACCCGGGGATGGTGCACATGATGCTGTTGTTGCCGGTTCCGGTGCATCCAACGGTGTGAGCACACGTTCGCGCATTTGTGCGACTTTCTTAAAGTAATTCCAAGTCCAACTGAAGCGATTGTATGTACGAAGAGAGAGAGAGGAGGGGGAGGCAGCAAGTACGTGATCGCTGAACTACGAGAGAAAAAATGCACCCTGTTGCTGGCGCTTCACCGTCCATGCACAACGCAAAAATGTGTGGATAGCAAGAGAGTCGCGAAATATTGTGAGCGAAGATTACACAAGATGAACGCACCAGGTGGCCGCTGATGGTGGCAATGGCTTACGATGTGAAAGGCAACAACGACGAGTGTGAGTATAAATTAAAAACACTAATCTGTGGTGATCATAGGATGAGGACGGCGCGCACCAATGCAACTCACTGCAATAATTCCGCATTGTCTTCTGGATTGGTTTTTTCTATCAGTTGTGTTAATCGCCGTCCAATACAGGAACTAAAAATTGAAGACGAAAATGAAAAGTGGACGGGAGTGAGTTTATGCCAAAAATTTGGAAAGAGATATCTCTGTTAATGATCATATCCGCACTAATCACTGCAAATTTCAAAATATCAATATCTGACGGGGACGGGCCACGATTCAATTTCTACTTTATCCATTAATGTCAGAAATAGCAAGGCTCCGGGACATTGGGAAGCAAATCAATCGCATAAATCGATCGACAACATAACAGGATTTACTTTTCTGGGGAGTGCTTCATTGCTACCGGAATCGCCATTCGGTTGAACCAATGCCTCGAACGGGTCAGTGCATCCAATTCCGCCTGTGTTTCTGAATGAACAGGGATCTGAGCAACCGTATCCAAGAATGGGAAGGAATTGGATTTTCTGGACCAGGGATAGGCAAATGAGCGGAGAGAATGCTTTAGTTTCACGGGTAAATTTGCAAAGAAGATCAAGCACGGATAACAAATAAAAAGCTAAGGGAAAATGAGAGAAAGAAGGCGAAGTACATTAATCACTTTTCACGCAACCAAGCGTACATGGTCAAACACGTCTATCATCGCAGTAGTCTCTATGTATCAGTATTACAGGGTCGATAACTTTGAATCAAGTCATCCTGATGTTTATAGTTCTCATTAGTTTAGCACATGTTCACCTGAATTTTTGAAGTGCATGATTGGAAAAGACNNGACTGCACAATGAGTATCTGTTCTATAAAGGTCCTTAAAACCTATACCCCGTGTAACTTTTAACACTGATGCAAATGTCGAGGAGAAAGACTGAAAACTCGGACAGGGGAAAATCGTGCAGCAACTACTGAACACAGGAGAAATCTCAGTGGACAACGTGATAACCGAATCAGAAATTACCTAGGTTCAAATGCAATTCAAACACTTGCGCCGCTGCTTTCTCCTTTGATTGCTTTGCAGAGAACGATTATCAACGGAAGTGAGACAAAATCTCTTGCTGTCGTTGTCCAACTGCGCTACACGTTCTCCATGGGTATCAACATTGACTTGTTGCGGAATATCATATCAGCAAGTCACTTATTAGCATGCATGATGGAAATAACGTAATAAATTTTTAAACTAAAAATGAATGAATAAAGTACGTGCTTAGCTTGACACAAAGAATCGTGAATGAAGCTAATGCATGCTTTTAAAGTGACGAGTGTTGTCACAGAGGTAAAAAGGGTGACAACTGAGATCACGAACAACGCAAAAATCGTGATGGGGCAAGTTCAGTGTTAGAGTTCGTCCGGAATGGACTGTTGAAAAACAACGTGGACTGTGCAATTTCAATTCGAGTGCAAAGACTATCTCACGAGTCGAAAACTGAGACTCAAATTTGAATATCACTGGCCCGGAGGAGTCAAGACTGAACAACCGGAAGGAATATTTTATAAGAGATGATACGAGAAACAGCAGGCAACCGATAAATGATCTATATCATATTACCAGCAAGAACTCATGAAGTTAACTGAAGGATGCACAATTCAACTCACTGGCTTTCTAGTTCGTCCTCATACAGTGCAATGGTGATCAGATGCAACGTTAAATCGAGCAAAGTGTCCGACCACCAAGATGAACTATTTCCATGGGTCAATGCAATGTCCAATAACGTCCGAATAAGGCGAACAAACGTTGAGCAGCTTACCAATCGTAACAGGTTCGGTGCAACTGAGGGTAATAACAGCCGTAACGGACGCGGAGCAGGGGGTGGTAAGGGCATATTGCTCAAATTGTTGCGTACAGATTGCGGCACATCCGATCTGTTTGCCATGTCGACGAGCCACCTCTTCAACGATTTCGTTACATTGGCTTCGGCCTAAAACCACAAGGAAACAAAATTTGCAAGACAGATTTACGACGATCACTTAAGTTCCTTGTTACCGGTATCCACATTCCGCTTTTTTGCTCTCCAAGTAAAACTGGAAATGAGAATAACGTTGAAACACAACGTTCATGACCAATGGATACCACCAAGTGCGGGAATGACACGAGATATGGTTAGTGGCATGATGTCTGCTGTTCTACCAATTAGCCAGTCCGAAAGAGAGAGATTTCTTTCATTGCGATCAAAGCCAACATAAGCTACTGGAAGCTAAGCGTGCTGNGCAAATTGGTAATTTGCGAAAAGAGAAAAACTGCACTACATTGGATTACCGATCTTCAAAATGTATCGACAACTATTAGGTCAAAAGAAAGATCACGGGTAAACTAAAATCAAAGATAAAAGAGTAAAAAAGAATTAGGGTGTCGAAAGCCATGGTTCATTGTATCCTGTATTTCATGGCTACATCAGTAGAATTTACGGAACGCGACGTTAGTTGTTACAATGTCAACCGGTCTTCAACAGATAGATAAACTGTATCTTCTGCGATCCATATTCATTCGCATTCGTCCTCTAAAAAAATTATACGAATCCCGACAAAACACTCATCCTTACTCCTACATTGAACTTGTAACTAGATCGGAATGAACGGAAGTTGTTTGGAGAAATGAGCAATGGGGTTGATATTCAATCACATTCAATCTGATTTTCTTGAAAACGTGATTTCGGCTGTTGATATCGACACCATCACTCGAGGGCGAGTACAATGTGCATGTATGGCTCTATGCGTACGTGTCGAAGATGAGAGTATGTTATCAAGAAATAATGTAGGTGGCCTGAGTCACGAGGAGAGATTCTTTAATTCTGTGATAAATTCGACCCGAGAAAGAGAGAGAAACACACATCCATCTTTCTGAGTTAGCATATTGGGAGTGATGCTACACAATGAGGAGCAAATGCAATCAAGCCCTGGGAAGAGAAGCAACCAGGTCGAGAGAGATGACACAATGTGAATGAGCAACTAAATGACAGCTGAGTACAGGAGGTGGAAGATGTAGTTGTCCAGTCGTCGCTATTGGCATTGTAGACGAAATGCGGTACTCCAGTCAAAAATGATGATAATTAATTTCTGGTAAGTAACAAACGAGCGCAGACTGAGTCTTGCGATCCAAATGAAACGAAATGATGTTGTATCCGAAGTCTATCGTGACACATCTTGGTAACTGTACCCTAAAAGGCCAAATCTGCAAAAACAAACGTACTTGATCCAGACGACAACCTCATCCTCCGTGGGATTTACTCACAAGGTTATTGAGGAGGACCCAGACTGACCTCGGTGATTGAGACGATTGAAATCATAAATCAGAGCGCAGAACGGCGACCCAGTTGTCCATCCGTCCCGATGTGATTGCGTTGCCTTATTAAGTTGACCGTGGTCAATTACGTCCAGGTTAATTAAGTTTCCTCGGAAGCCAATCCAAAACTCCATTCTCGCTCGGTAAGTTAATCAAAAAATGGTTATGTAATAGTAGATACACATCAGTTCTATCCAAATAGACGAACGTCGTGACGGGTGACGCATGAAGCACAAATTGCTCTGCGGGATTCCCAGTAGAGAAAATACTTAGTGGATTCAACTGAAGTTACAATAATTTCACATGAAGTTAAACAACTATAGTATTTTGGGTGACCTATTTCTGAGACTTCGTTTTTTGTACCACCAAACGAGCAATCCGTTGCTGGTGCTGTTTACTTCACTATCCAAAGACCAATGCCGTAGCCTTCCCAGAGGGATCCACACGGTTTAATGACTAAGGTTCCAGGTTGCCTGTGTTCATAACTTAACAGTTGTCTAGTGTGATTATGGGATTAATTCTTGTTCAGCACGGAAAGGACGGAATTTAGTACCGGCCACAAACACACGAATAACAGACAACACCAAAAATGAAGACGCGAATAAACGTGAATGAATTCGTGATTACCGACGATATTATTCATAATGGTCTATTGGGAAAAGATACCAGTGCATAAGACCATAAATAAGACAGCAGTAAACGTACCTGTGTTTGCTCCGCATGGCGATATCCCCAGTGAAATCGATTGAACCGAAAAGCCATCACTTCGGGTTTCAGTGTGAACACAATACGTCCAGAAACAGATGACTGAGTAGCGATTTGTTGCAAAATACGAGGTAGAACCTGTTCCACACCAAGCCGATTTGCTCTTCGTGAACTGGATGCCAGACTGACGGAACTATTTGATTTATTGGTCGAGGAAACACGCAGTAAGCACCCGACCGGTTGATATGGTAAATGATGCAACAACTCACTACAGATCATCGGTCGAACACACAACGTGTGCACAACATCGTCCAATAGGGCTGCGTGAAATTCTTCCAACTCGGGATCAATGACGCATTCTTTCAGTAGTTCCGCCTCATCCGCGAGCTGGATGTAATCCAGACCAAATTTACCGATGCTAGGACGAGATCGATTGGTCACTAAATTGATCAGGGTACGCAACAACATTTCGACCGCCTGAACCGACCCGCGACCCGCTGTGCTTTGACTGGGCCTAGGCAAAACAGATAATTGACGAAAGCAGGTTTTCAATAGCAGAGATCAATGAGATCGATGTAACCCGAGTGCGGGACATGAGTTTATCATCCTGGTTGAGAGGGACTCACAACATCTCTGGATAGTAAAGCACTGTGAAGTGATGAACTGACAAACGGCTAACAGACAACAATCAAAACTGGCGCACGAAAATGCATGGTTAACGGTTGTAAAAATGAAACCGATGTGGATTCCCGGTAATGTTCAGAGAGTGATGCNTATTTCCACATCTGCAATTATCTTCTGCAGGTGACAAAATAGCAATGATGTTGTGATATATGAGAAATCGAAATCTACACCAAGGTGAACAGTTCTCTTCCATGACTACGCACACCAAACCGGGTGAGTTAACCCCAAGGGTGAAGTGGTGTGTTCATATCCCCTATTCACCGCTAATATTCTGCATGAATCCTAGAATTGATCGTAACCCCCAAAAAAAACTGATGATAGGAATTAATGAAAACCACACGGAGATTCAGAAGAAACTTTAATTTCTTGTACAACATTTTCTCCATCTAACTTGCCCATTGGTGATCTCAATATCTGAAATCCAACATGTTTCCACCCCAAGCCCCCGGATCGGATTCATAACCCCTATCACCTTCACAAAGCACAAAGGTGTGTGTGATCGTCCATCAATCGCTACCTCGTCATCACCACCGCACTCTGATTTCACAAGCGACAGACACCCGTTCTCCAAACCCGTACCTCATTAATGTACACCGTACACGAAATCATGGGACCACTTTCTTCG